TCCTATCGCTGACCCTCACGCCTCGCCCGCCAACTATCAGCCTGGCGTACCAGAAGCGGGCGATCTGATCTTCACGCTCCAACTGCAGCCTCACACCTCGTTCGAGATTCGCGGTCTAGACCTGCACACAAAGTGTCACATCACCCTCTCCGAATCGCTATTAGGCTTCGAGCGCACCATCTTGACGCATCTAGACGGTCGACATTTGAAATGGAAGAGCAAGAGTGGGAAGATTGTCAGACCGGGCGAAACGCAGAGGGTAGTGGGAGAAGGTATGATGAGAGAGGGAGATAGAGGAGAGAGGGGAGATTTGTACATTACCGTGCGTATTCGCGCGCGCCCTCTTTGGCAGCAACGCGATTGCGCTGGCAGGCTGGCTGGCTAATACTTGTCCATGCCTCGTGGCCGCTCTCGCACAGTGGGAGGTGGACTTTCCACCAGATGATTTCTTGTCCGATATAGACGGCTTGGTGCGTTGCCATTCTGCGCCGTGCTCTCCCCCCCCCTTTTTCAAGCTCTGCTTTGTTTCGGGCTCATCTTTGTACCGTTGCCTCTTTGTCCCTTTGCCTCTTTGCAGAAATTGGCCCACCTATTGCCTGCTAAACGGCCCGATCCAATCAGCGATTCCTCTGCGCCAGTGGAACACATCGAGCTGGAAAAGGCGTCGTTGGAAGAGGTGCGTTGTACATTTCTCTTGCCTGTCTTGCCCACACTTTCTCCCTTCTTGACACGTCGTTGACCCCTGAACTCGTATCGTCCCTCGCGCAGTTTGGAAGGAACGAAGTGCCGGGGCAAGAAGAGGATTGGGAGGATGAGGAAGCGGACGGTGCACCTGGAGGTGCTCAATGCGCTCACCAATAGACATTCAGAAGCAAGAGGCTTACACGCAAAGAGTCGGTGAGCCCTTGCACACCCCCGCAAGCATCGCCTCGAATCATAGATGTCACACGTCACACTCTGCACATTCACGTTGCGCGCAATACGACCAACCTCTCAGTCGCTAAAAGGGGAGGGTATATGTGTCAAGCTGTGTAGTATAGCTCCTCGTCCAACCCTTCGACTTCACCAGTGTGGGGCGCACGTACGACTCCGAGGCCACGGCTGGATTGTGCGAGAAAGCATGAGAAGAGATTTGAAAAGCACTGAAAACTTCTGGAGGGGGGAGAGACAAAGGAACTTGCTAGGAATCTCGGCCTGGCGCAGATCGATGGCCGAAGATTCACATTGTTGTCGGCTCACTGCGCTCTTCGGCTGATCGATTCGGATTGAACAGAAATGGAATGCTCCGCATGGTACAGGCTTGCGCGTGGGTAGGCAATGAATAGTAGGAAACATCTCGAGTTGAAAGGGTGAGATTGGACGGATGAAGAGGTGTACAGCCACTAGACATGTCATTGAAATGGGACTGGTGCGGACAACGAAGAGGCAGAGTGTGAAGTGAAATTTAGACAAGAGGCCCATGGGTCTTTCTCTACCTCTTGTCTCCCACTCCCTGACCACAGTTGTCAGCGCGTGCTCCGTGAACCTTGCCTACTGACCATTCCGTTTATTACCATCTCTTTGTTCTCCAAAGAGCCGTCCTGGTGAGCTCTTGTCTTTCAAGCGCTTCTGTCATCTCCTCCTTCTCCTCTTCCTTTCCTTTAATCGGCCCTGCTCCCATCTTATGCTCCATCGTGAGTGATGCGTGGCTACGAAGGCACGGTCAAGCGCCTCATACATGCTTGTAGCGCTGGCATTGAGGATGAGGGTGACGGTCTGAACAGCCCCTCGACACGCGTCGGTACAAAAGTCTTTGTAGACCATTCCATCCTTGGCGCACGCACACAAATGCTTCGAAAGGGATTCAAAGTTGCATGCATGAAGAGGTG